TTCTCTTTAGAAGTTCATATAAAACATCCAACCATAAGTTCATTAATACATCAACGGAAGCATCTTCCAAAACTAAAACCTCAATAAACACATTTACAGAGCTACTAAAGAAATCCAAACAAACTCAAAGTAGTACAACATGTAAATTGCTTACTAACCTCAAAAGTATATTTCAAACATAGAATATGCATTAACATGTAATGTAAATACTTGCAGATTAATCTTCTTCCACTTTGCTCTTTTCCTTTCCTGTAACAACAGCCAGTAATAAACTACTGGTGAGCTATGAGACTCTATAAGTGATGCAACGTTAAATAGCATTTAAATTTCATGATTATAGAAATTCATAATATTGAAAACATAAATAAAAGTTAGACTACATAAGCAAGTTTCATAATTCTCATTTGATATTATCCTGAAATTCTTCTTAAATCCATACTGAATATCAATTTTACTCAATAAAACATTTGGCTACTCATTCATAAACATATTCAATGGAGCCCAGGTAAACCTGGCATTATCGCCATTGAATTACATAGAGGTCCCTTTTGCCTCTTTGGGGTCCCTTTTGCCCCATCTGCTTTGCAGGTTTCATTTCTTTGGGGTCCCTTTTGCCCCACTTACCAAACAGTTTAATATATATGAGGACCCTTTTGCCTCACCTGCATTGGTAAGTTATACATAAATCTTTAGCCAAATTTTACTTTTAAATTGATATTCAGTACACCTTCCATATTAATTATCCATGCTAGACTTGTTGCATGCTTTTTATTCATTCATTCATAACATGAATATGCACATAATACGTAAAGAAACTGATCTTTTTTCAAAACATTATCAATAAGGAAAATATTTAAATGAACATATTACACCTTGATTTAAATTCACATAATTAATTTATGTAAGTGGTTAATCATAATTGAAAACTTGTAAGTATATTCTTTTCTAGGCCTTTCACAAAAGGTTGATCAATATGCATAAAATCAAATCATTTACTTTCATGACTACTTTCCAAAGTGTCATTATAAACATTGTACATATCTAATGATAAGGTATATATTTCTTAAAAATACTTGCATCACTTACTTCCTTGCCCAGTCGTCTCTTCCAATTCTCTACTTCGCACCCTTCTACGATTGTATGTCACCTCGAAACTTTCTCTTTGCATAAGACCAATAAAACCTGTTTTCTCCTCTCAGAATCTTCCTTCTTTTCTCAATTTCTCTTCTTCTTTCTTTTGCTTAATCCCTCCCCTGTTATTGCCTTATAGAATATATTTGCTGATTTCTTTTAGTGCCACAAAAATCTTTTCAGACGAACTACTCCAATGCACTGTCCCGAATTTCTCTTCTGAATAATCATGAATTTCTCCCGCCGAATTCTTCCTGTGAAGAATTCCTACTGCAGAACTCTATTCCAATCCCGCATGCATTACACTGTGCCGCCTGGAGAAATCCCTCCATGCCGAATTCCCATTGTGTAGAAGACTTCTACAGCCATGTAGCGAAGTTATCTACTGGAATCTGCACTCAATTCCTTCGGTTAATCATATAATTCCCTCAAACGATGCTTCCCAACGTTTCCGTTCCTGACAATAAATGGTCCCACTCACATAACTGTCTTGCTTTACTGCCTATAGAAGGTATCTCATCGGAATTCTCTTCAGAATAAAGAGAATGCTTAAATTACCTAATGTTAACGTGAAGGGGTGCATCCAAGGGATGTTTACCTTGCTTTGCTTGATTTCATTTAATATAACCTTAATATTTAGTATTAAAGTTATTATTTAACTAATAATAATTACATGTTAATACTAATTTCACATTAATTTAATCTTAAACTTTAAAATAACTTTTCGGATATAATTATTTCATTTTAATTTTTCATGCCTAATAATTTTGGGTATTACATCCACTCCCCTATACACCCCTCTACCTATCTCCATCTTTCCGGTCCACATTAGTTCCCCATAGCACCTTGTGTCCACCATTTTCATCCCCAATTGGTTTACGACTTGATTGGAGATGAAATTGTGGGTAACCCCATTGTCTATCAACACCACTACCTCATTGTCTGCTATTGCTCCTATCACCTTCATAGTGTTATTTGGAGTGAATCCCACCACTAAGTTCAAGGAGACCTCTGCCTTATCTAAATGCATCTTTTCCTCCTCTATCGGTGCCTCATTCCCAGCTCCCTCCTCAGCTTCCTTATCATCACAAACGGTGAGAACCTGAAGAGTTTGGTCCTTACACCTATGCCTCGACGTTACTTCTCATCACATCTAAAACATAATCTCTTTTTCCATTTCTCCTGCACCTTCGCTTCGGTGAGTCGCTTGAAGTTCCTCCCTGGGTGAACTTCACAGCTCTTCTCCCTGGGTGCTTCTCTTTGAAAGGATATTATCTGGGTTCTGGTTGCTAGAGTTGTAGAGGTATTTTTGTAGACCCCTCCCATAATATTGCTTATGTTGGCCTTTTCCCTCTTATATTTTCTTCCACCCTTTGAACAAGCTCCATCGTCTCACTCAGCCCGCTAGGCTCAAGTATCTTGAGCTCTACCCGTATGTCCTCCCTAAGCCCCTTCATGAAATTTCTCTACAATCCTTCTTCAAAGATTCCCCTTAGTCTCCCTAACAACAGCTCAAACTTCCCCCGGTACTCCATAATTGTCTCGTCTTATGTTAAGGCTTAGAGCTGCTCGTAGAGATCTCCTTGCTGAATGGCTCGGAAACGTTCCAACAAAGATTGCTTGTTTTCCGCCCAAGAAAATGCCCTGATACCAATTTGTTAGGTAACAAGTGCAGGAATCAAAGAGATAGTGGCTAAAATTTGGAATTTCAGCAAATAACACAGCAGAAATTGAATAAGGCTTCATTTGGGATTAGGGATGTCAAAATCGGGTTACAGGTTGGGTTCGGGTCGAACCCGACATCGACCCGCTAGTGTTTGACCTGACCCAAACCTGATCCGGTTTAGCAAACGGGTCAAAAATCCCAACCCATACCCAACCCGCAAAGATAGATAATTTTTTTAATATTTTTTATTATTTTTTATAAATATTTGATAGCCAATATATTTTTTAATATAAATATTTTATATATATATATATATAATCAATTAAAATTATTATAAATGCATTTTTATATATGTTAAAATATCCTTAATATATACTTTTTTTAAGTTACCCGGGTCATTTTGGGTTGATCTTGGGTTTTCGGGTCAACCCGAACCTGACCCGTTTCTTAAAAGAGTTGAGCCTAACCTGAAATTTTCGGGTCGGGTCAAATATTGACATCTCTATTTGGGATAATTTTTTTTTGTTGCTTTCTAAAACAAATTCTTAGTACAAAAAATTTTCGAATTAGAAATTTTTGTATTAGAAAATTGTTTTAGAAAGCAATAAGAAAGTTGTCCTAAACGAAGCCTAAATCTCGTGGCAAAACACTAGGGAAACTTGATAACTGATAAAAAGTGAAAGAAAACAAACAAGATACAGTGGATTTTCAATTCGAGAGGACGATATGGCTCTCCTAATCCCTAGGCAGCGGCTAGAGGCTAAGCAATCCTAGAAAACTCCCAAATTCAGCAAAACAAAACCTTGCCCTAACCCTCTCCATCTATTTAAAGAATACAAATATAATGATAATTACTAAACAATCCCTCCCAAATTTAATTCCCTCCTAAACCTCCCCCTCATTGCCTGGCATAAACCAAGGGTTGGCCCTAGTTTTGGGCCAACTGGACCAGTCTAACAAGTGGCTAAACCATATATGGTGTTTCTATCTTCTATCCGTCTTCTTCTGCTTCCAAACTCTACAGCTCTATCAAAATCACACTCCTTCACAATTTCCCCTCTTGGAAGAGGCTCCAAAGGTGGCATCTCCTCCTCTTCCCTCAAAAAATTTCACCTATCAATCCTCCCTCATCATCCCTATATTAGGATTTCCCCCACTTTCTTGTCCGGTCAACGTGCCCTTGCCTCCGATGATGTTGTTTTGGCTTGAAACTCTAACATCATTTTCATCATATCTTTCATATTTGAAAGTCTGCCCTTCATTGGTGAAATTCGCTTTCTAAATTCATATTTCAGATTTCTATCTTCCCCATCAAGCCTCTCCTCCAACGCATCCATCTTCTTATGGTGGCTAAAGTTTGAGAATGAATGGCTTGTGAGTAATCGATCATATCCATTGCCACTAAAATACAATTAAATTAGGAGGGGCTGCCCACCAAATTACAGCCCCTCCTAATTTGAGAAGGGGTCCATATAAGCAAACACATAACTCTCACAGAAGAAGCAAAAAATATGTTTAGTTTACCGCAGATCTCTAATTAATTTATAAAAATGACACGATCTTTGTTAATATAAGACCGGTTTAACGTAGAGTAGCTATTTCAAGAAACTGTTAAAACTGCCGAGTTTTGGATTATATTCTTTTGGTTGCTTATTTATTTTTGCTATCCTATACTTCTTTAAGAATGGCAAATATGAATGAATGGCTAACGTACCAGTTCTAAGAGAGTGCTTTTATGAATGCCTCTGCACTTCTATTTATTTGATTTGATGCTTCACCTTTTGCTCTCTTTTTTTAACGATACACTCTATTTTTACTATTTTACACGTTTTATGAAAGAACTGTGCCACCACCATCAATCATTTATGGGGAACTTACCAAGATTTTTTTTGTTTAGTCTATTTAGCGTAGATAATTGATTTTTATTTGTTATGTGCATGCATTTCTATTTCAAACATCAATATATTACTACCATAATCACTCTCTTCTAAACGTAATATTAAAAGCTCACGAGGTTCTAATTTATGATTCGTTTGGGATGGCTTTCTTACCGCTTGTTAAAGCAGCTTTCTAGTACAAAAACTAAAAAGCTACTTTAAGAAGCGGTAAGAAAGCCGTCCCAAACATAGCCTTATTCTCATCCCATGCAATGCAAAGAGCCAAACATGTTGGTTGTTAACTAAAACTAGTTTATTCTTTGTAGCTCGAAGCCGAAATTCTAATCAGCATTTCCAGGCATCGCAACCGCAACTTACCTCAAGCAATACAATTCGACAGCCCATTAATACCCGTGCAATTTTGCACGCCGGCCGTTCGCCTGCTCCCCATCTTCAACCCATCCGACCGCCGCCCCGTGTTTCAGATCCGACAGTTAACACACCACTTTCTTCAGCCCCTAATTCACAGTCTGCAACCCCAACTCTGATTTCTAATGCAACTCCATCAGTTTCTCCAGCAAATTTGGTTTGTACATTCTCGGCACCATTTCCTCTCATGGGATCATCCATTTCTAATGCTTCTGGAATCTCACAGCCTACAGGCTCTGGATCATCGCCCCTTTACTTCAGTCCAGCTCAGTTTGAGTTGCCTGAGTGTGCTGAAGCTGATGAACTGCTTGAATCAATGTTGGCCAACTTGCCAGCAACCAACAATGAATTTCTTACCGAAAGTATAATTGATTCAAGGCCTAATGCCTCCTCTGATGTCGTCTACCTATCAGATGGAGACTGACTGATGAAGCATGAAGTATGGTGGTCTTCTGTTCCTCAAAATATTTTTTTTGTAGATTTTCTGTACATACTTAATGTTAGTTCAGGCGCAGGTCTCAGTTGCTTCTTCAGTTGGTATCTTCTAGGTGAAGATAGTCAGAGTTTTGTCTCATTCAATGAAAGAATCACAGAAAGTGATGTTCGTTTGTCCTCAATCTTTCTTAGAAAGTCCCATTTCTGGGACTTCATTTTTGTATGGAAATAATGAACCATCACGCATATTGAATTGCAATATATTATTAGTTTTATTTTATACATGTCCTCGCCAACTTATGTGAAATTTTGAACCTTAAAACAGTATTATCTGAGTACTTATTGTCTAAAGTTTTGAAGGGAAAGCTTGGCCGATGCCTCTCATGATCTTGATCTTATTGTTGGGGTGGCTAAGCTTTACTAGAAAGGATTTTGCTTGTAATTATAAAGAATGATTGAGAGTTTAGCTATCAACTAAGATGTTTTAAATTTGAAATTTACATATGTGATATATACAGGAGTTTCTTAATTGGCGCATAAGTCAAAAAAAAAAAAAAAAAAGAGAGAGATTGATAACGTTTAGTTGCTCTTATCTTTAGATTATCTGTATTTCCAACTTATTTGTTTATTAAGGTTTTGTTTGGGATTGTTTTCTTACTGTTTTTTAAAGTAATTTTTTAGTATAAAGATTTAAAATTTTAAACTAAAAAGTTGTTTTAAGAAGTAATAAAGAAGCTGCCCCAAACAAAGCCTAAGTTTGAAGAGATTCTGCTTATATTTTGATATCTGTTGTTGACTGGGGAGCACATGAAGGAGATGAAGCCTGTTAATCACTCGATCATGGCTCTACTTATGTTTGGAATGCTTCTTTCTGCATCACTTTGGCTTGCAAATATACGAATGCATTGAGTGATTGAGTACACAAGAAATTACTGGAAGGTTGAATAGCAGCGAAGTGTTCCGGAGAAGGTTTTCTCCAGTCAATTTGTGTTACAAAGTATTTCTTTTGGTTGATTTTTTATTTTTATTGTTTGGTGCTTCACTATGGTGGTTTATATTTGGCTTTTAATGATGAAAATATTCTCTTGTAGAGAACAGACTCTGCTACTGGGTTTTAGTTTATTTCTTGTCAATATGTTTTTAGGGACATGTCAGTTTCACTAGTGTAAGTATAAATATTTGTAACTCATATTGTCCAAAATAATAAGCTTCATTATATATATATATATAAATAATTAAAATGATTTCTTAATTCTTTATAAAAGATTAAAATAGCCCTCAACTGTAGTAAAGGATCATTTTGATCTCTCATTTTTAGAAAGGAATCAAAATAATTTTATCTTGGAATTGATTTAGCTCTTTTTTAATAGAAAATTATCTATTTGAGGTTGATGTTGTGTAATTAAGGTTATGTTTGGACGGCTTTCTTACTGCTTTTTAAATCAGCTTTTTAGTATAAAAATTTTATTTTTTTACTAGAAAGCAGCTTTATAAAGTAGGAAGAAAGTCGTCTCAAACAAGTCTAAGGCTTCGTTTGGGACAGCTTTTTTACTGCTTTTTAAAACGGAGTTTTAGTACAATTTTTTTTTATTTTTATGCTAAAATTCCGTTTTAGAAAGCAATAAAAAAGTCGTCCCAAACGAAGCCTAAGTCAACATCAACCTGAGAAATTCAAAATATGAAAACTTCAAGGGTCATGTGTCCCCATGCTTTTATTGCTATTAAATAAGTATTAACAGATTAATTACTGTTAGTAAAATAATTGAGTAAATATTAGTATTTATATTCAGTAAAAGATTAAAATTTAATTAGATAATTAATTCTTTCCTGAATCTGATGCTCTAAAAGGGTTGTGAAATATAGTGTGTTATTTATTCTGAAACTATTAAGTAAATAGCAAATAATGTGAAATTGTAACTTACTGTTAATAATTATATTGATGTTAATTAAATGTAATCTCAATATATTAAGCAATTTTGTTTTCTGCAGTTCTTTTATTAAAAAAAAAATTCTCAAAAGGTAGTAAAATTTCCTACAGAAGAATATACCTAATTGTGGTTTAGGTTTTATGTATTATATGTGAAGAGGAGGTAAAATATGATTTTAGGATAAATTGATTTTATGCAATTTATTGAAAAATGATTTGAGGACACTAGAGATTAAGATGTGAATTGTAGGTAATTTACAAAATGAAAAGATTTTGAGGTGTCGGATTCGAGGAGTCAATTCGTCATAGAGGCAAGTGATGCAATTCTAATTAAAAATGCAAATACTTTCATTTTTAGGCTTGAAGAGTTGTTTCTGAATTAAGCTTATTCAATGTATTGAATATGAGTATACATACAAGTATTCATGTATGAGAAACTAAATATATATTTGAATAATTTGAGTTTAAAATAAAATATAATATGATTGCTTAAAAGTTTTTATAGTTGACAATAATTTGAAAAGAAGTCCATTACATTACATGTTGCATACACATTCTTGTTATGCAAACCGTGCAACATATAGATTTTTATGAAAGTATGCAACATAACAAAGCAAGTATGAATTATTAATTTTTGAAGTTAACTGAATATCAAAATTAAGAATGGTTGGCTATGAAATGATATTATGCATGCATTTTATGTGGGGCAAAAGGGACCCCGGATATGAAACCTTTGTTGCAGGTGGGGCAAAAAGGACGTCAAAAGAGGTAAAAGGGACCTTTATAGAGTTTAATAATGATAATGCTAGGGTTACATTTGGCTCCATTGAATATTCTTATGGAAGCTAATTATATGAAAAATGATAACTCGAATCTTAGAAGACTAAAATTGTGATATTATGTACATGCTTCAAAAGAAATAAAAGATGATACTAAATATGATTTTATATTATTTCATAAATATTTTGTGAGTTAACTCAGTAATTATTTCCTATAATATAGCATTTAATTTTTCATTTAAATTGCATAATTTTATGAGATTTATAGCTCACCAGTTTTTATATTGGCTACTGTTATAAGAAAATGCAAGGAAAAAGTTCGAGCATATCATGCTCAAGTTTTTGAATATTTAGATTTTCTATTTAGTAGTGTGTGAGTCATCATGTGAGGTATGTAAACTATCAAATTATGATGATGTATTTTGATTTTCTTAGTAGCTTTGTAATTACTTATGTGATGTAATTGGGACTATTTATTTTCTTCCGTTTATTCAGAATATATATGGTACTATTGTTGGAGAATATATATATATACATATGGAAATGCTTAAGTATTATATGTTGAGAATTATAAATGTTGTTCTCTATGACACTGCATTACTGAAAGGGGTATCGTGGGGTATGGACATGTGATGTGGTCAACTTTTATGAATGACACTACAACAAAGATCTGTTTGATCAGATAAAGATTGAAGTATATATATGATAGGTAGAAGAAATAATATGATTGCACATAATCGTTGAGTTTCAAGTTAGCGTTTTTTTTTTATATCAAAGTCATTATATTAAATATGTCAGTCAATTTGAAAGAATTAGTAAGTTGAGTTCTAGTCTATTGGACCTTTTGATGTTATTAAGATGATTGGTGGTTCTGCTTGTAAATTATTATTACACGATCATATGTCAGATATAGATTGTATATTTAATAAATCTTCTTTGAGAAAGAAGATTTTTTATTCTAGGAAGATATTATTCATCGAAGATGTTGAGATTCATTTGAATTTGCACTATAGAGAAGAGCCCAAAAGGATTCTGGCGCACGATGTTAGGAAATTGAGGAGCAAATAAAATTTAATAATTAAGGTGAAGTGAAAATATATGACCTCGAGACGAATTCAACCCATGTCAACCAACTCTTGAAGCTAAACCTTCAACCCCTAAGCTCCTTAGGCACCATCCTATATGGAGCTTTAGAAATCTGGGTCGTATCGAGAAATATATTAGTACACAACTCTATGTCTCTGTCCACAGGAACACATACTAACTCCTTAGAAAATACAAATAAAAATTCCCTTACTATGAGTACATCAAAAATAAGACGAGGATCTATATTCCTATCCTAGATTGTTGCTAGAAATAACATGCAACACTTCTTACACAATCTATTTTCTTCCACAGTTGAAATCAGACAGGATAAAATATTTATAACTCACTGGAATATAAAACTCTTGCTATCTAGAAATATCATAACTCGCTTTTCCCAGCAATCAATCTAAGCCTTATACCGACTATACCGACTCAACCAATTTATACACAAAATAACACCATATGATAAAATGGGTGATACAATCAAACTAAAATTCCACTCCTTATAAGAAATCTCAATATCATATAAATAAAATATATTGGTTATCATGCCATCTCAAGTCGGTAAACTAACAAAAAAATAAACAAACAGTACAACTGAAGGCAAGTGTAGTAAATCATAACGTTTTAAAAATCGGACCGGACCGGTCGGTTCAACCAGTTGAACCGGGAATCGGTTCGGCGGCCGGTCCGGTCTGCCCCTTTAAATCGGGCTGCATTTTAACAGGCCAAAAACCGGGTCCAATGCCGGTTGAACCGCTAAACCGGCGAACCGAACTCCGTGAAAAGAACCGCCCGGTTCCGAAATTACCTAATCAGAGCCGTTGATCTCAAATCCAACAGCCGAAATTGGATTTAAGTTTCATTAAGCGGGTATCGAAACTCGAAACCCTTAGGGGGTGTTTGGTATAGGATTTGATTCAATTTTAGTAAGATTTATTAAATCCTATAAATCCGGATTTAGTAAATTCTGGGCTCTTAAATCCTGAATTGTGTTTGGTATGATAATTTTTAAATTCTATTAAATCTAGAAAGATGTTTGGCAAAAGATAACATGATTTAAAACGGTTGGAGATTTAAAATTTAATTAACTAATTATTTTGAAATAACTAATTATTTAAATAATATTCCTCTAATTGTTTAATTAATAATTTAATTACTATTTTATTAGTTTTAATTATGAATTTTATTATTAATTATCTCATTAATCACTTAAGAATTTTATTGCTCATTAATTGTTTAACTATTATTATTAGATTATTAATTTTATGTTTAATAATGTATAAGATAATTATATTAATTTATTATTATTTTAAATTATATTAACTTGTTCGCCTTTCATCTTCTCTGCCCGTAGGGTTTGCCTTTCATCTTCTCTTTTCGTCGTTGCTGTTCGGCTTCGTTGCTTCGCATGAGGTGTATAGATTGCACGCGTGCTTCTTCGGCTCCTTCGTGGCTGTTCGACTTCGCTCCTTCGACGACTTTCCCTTCCTGTCGGGTCGGAAGTTAGGACATTTTTGATCGGATGCAACAACGGGAGCTCGCTGGCTTTGAAGGTAACTTTCACCCTTTCGCGCTCTTCTCCGGCCAAATCCTGTAAATCTCGTTAAATCCAGGAAAGGATGGGATTATGATTTACCAAATACCCCCTTATTAGAGCTTTCCCAATTTTCAAATTCCAAATGCTAGAAAACTTATATCCTGCAACCCGCCTTCCCCGCCTATGGTCGCTGTTTTCCTAGCCCATAGCCGCTTGCCACTGCCTTCCCCCGCCTGTGCGTAACCGCTGGAGCCTGCTGTTTGCCATCGCTGCTTGTCACTGCTCGCTGTCACTTGAGCCTTTCCTCGTTACATTTTAATGCATTATGCTGTATCATAACAAACACCCCCAAAAAAATTCAATGCTTTTGATTTTTATTTAACCAAACAACTTCTAAAATTAAATGCATTTCGATCACTTTGCATTTTTTTAATGCATGTCTTTTAAAAACATCAATCAAACAACTCTTACTTTGAATGTTTCCATTTCTTTTTATTGTGATATATTAAGTATTATCCAGTTAATATTGAACTGTGCGTATTGCTACTTTCTGGCTGTTGTTCATCTTTTCGATGTAATGTTGCAGTAACCAATTGTTCCTTGGTAATATATATGGCCTGAGTTTGAGTGTGTATTTATTATGATCTAATTATAATTTTGGTGCACCTTCATGCATTGCAACCAAGGTATCAAGAGGGAGACGTGCAGTAACTAGGGTTATTAAAGAAGATTCCACTTCCCTCCATCTTTGGTTTGAATCATGGGAAAAAGATCAAATAAGCGTAGGAGATTTCCAAAGCCGGGCAAGGCTCATGCCCAAGAAGATGATGCATATATGGAAAAAGAAGTGGATGATGAAATAGATGCTTGTAAGAACATAACTTGTGGATGATTTGTTTTTTTACTCTATACCTCTAATTTTCCTCTTTGTGATAACCTTGTTTTTTATTACAGTTCATAAGCAACGGGAGATGATTCCGCTGGATGTTAATGAAGATGCAGGTGAGTTTGTGAATGCTTTAATGATTATATTACGTTCATTTTAACTGAAAAATCTTATTGCATATGCAACTTACCTTACTTTTAAACATAAGTATTTGTTATTGCTGCATGATGCCAACAGGAGATTCTGATGATGATCTTGAAGAACCAGTTTTTGATTTGGAGGTAATCACATAATATACATCTTTTACTTGCTGTGGTTCTTTGAGTAAAAGAATAAACTTATTTTCATGTATTGGATTTTTTTGGAAGCTTGATTTGAACTCCTGTGTAAGGAGGAATTAGTAGCCTTCATGTGCCCAGACCAAACATTAGGGAATTATGTGAACAATCATTTTTGGTGATTCAGGTACTAGTAGTATCATAGATTTGAAACCGTCTCTTTTTCATGGAGAACTTGGTGTGGATTCAACATTCTTTTTGCCCATATTGAACACTGATGCAACCAAAAATAAGGATTACAAAGAGCCAAATCTTCATTTCTTATAACATAAATATAAAAAAAAAAAATTACAACTTAAAAGCCACTTTTCATAGATAAATACTAAACTTGACACACCGATTGAACTACACTTTCAACTTACAAAAGTTTTGAGAAGAATGATATAAATGGGGCAGGAACCGTGGATAGAAGGAGGAGGTAGAAGTCTAAGATGAATTTTTAGGAGATAGGGGGCATAGAAGACAATAGCTTGCAAGCTATAAAAACCCTCAGGTTTTGTTCAAAAAATCATTACATATCTCATCCTTTTTCATAAAGAAAATCAGCCACCTTAAATGGAAAAAGAAGTGGAAAGAATATTAAATGCTCACTTAAAATTTTCACCCAAATAGCCAATATAAGCCTTCCAAATCAGCCCAATTAATTAGGAAATAAAGTTTCCAACATGGGTTTCAACAAATGGTGAAAACGAGCAGCCATCAACAAGGAAACTGAAGAGGTATAGGAGAAAACGAAGAGCCAGGAGGGAAAACCGATGTTCAGCATGGGAAAGACCAAACAACCACTTTTGGAAGATTAAATAACCACTTTGGGAAGACCAAAAAGCAGCAAGAATACAAGAAGACAGCAGGAATTTTCAGAAAACAGCAGGAAAAATGAGAAATAACACAAGAAAAATGTAAAGTAGGATATCTTGACCGCATCAAACACCCACCCACATTCCTTCTATTTCCTCCCTTAGTTTACCCTCCATTTTAATGTGATGTAGTTTACAACTAGTTTGTTACCACCATTATTTGCTTATTCTGATTTTTGTTCTTGAAGCTTCCTCACTTGTTGGTTGTGACAATTATCTCTAACGTAATGGAGAAAATCAAAATGTTAAGCTGGGTAACACGATTTTTGGATAGATGCAGTTTTCCACTATAAGTAGTAATGATTAGGGTAATGACGAGCTTTGGAGTTGGTTTACTGTTTGTTTTATTGCAAGTAAACACATTTTTACCAGTAGATGTCTTTAAACTGAAAACAAAAAAATGCTAAGGCTTCTTTTTAAGCATGTGGCTTCTTAGCTTCAAGGATAACATATGGCTGAAGTTCCTGTATTTTAAGCTCATTTTTGAGGAAAATTATATTGATCTCAGTAATGCATTAAAAAAGGCTGAAAGCTTGAATTTTATTCATGAAAACAATGGACTTTCTTAGTTTGTCTCACTAATATTTGTGTTAGCGGATTTTATCTATGACTATTCTATGAGTGTTAACTTCATACTTGGACTGCAATAACATGTTGAAGTTGAACCGATAAGCAAAACTCGTTTTTTGGTTGCTGATGTTATTACATATTTTAGGGGAAAAATAACAGATAATTTCTGTTTGTTTAAAAGGTCTGTCTCATCTCTCAAACATTGATTCTATCACTTCTAGTATTTTATTTTGAAATAACCTGTTAAGGTTTGTCATCTGATAGGAAATAGTTGAGTTCACAAGTAACCCTAAGGGTAATACTTGAGTTCGCAAGCAAACCTACCACGAATTGGTGAAAAACAGCGAGAATAGCACAAAATCTGGGAGAAAAACAGCACAAATGATAGATTGCGTTACGAAAATCAAAGCGAAACAAGAACGGAACAAAGATACAATTGATCCTCAATTCGAGAGGAGAATCGTTCTTATCTACTCGTGCTACACATATTTCCACAATCCCATTAGAAAAAGATATAGTGGCCTATTTCTCGATTGCCATAAATGTTGTTATCATTTGTTTTATATTCAGGGTTATCAAAATGGTGACAGTTATAATGGTAGAGAAGATGACGATGGGGAGGATGAGGATGAAGATGACAAGGATAACCGAGATTTTGATGATTTGGAAGATAAAGGATTTGCGGCAAAAAGTAAGATTATGATTCTGTATTACTATATTGTTGTTAATCTATTGGCATAATTGATCCTCTTATTTCCAAATATATTGAAGTTGTCCTCTTATGTTTCAAACGTTTACTTACTGTCTTTTAGATATCATTTATGTTCATATTCAGATCTCAATGATAATCTATCTGGCAAAACATTGAAAAGTTTCAGGCTAATAAATATTATCTAGAAGTTCTCTTATATTTAAACCCATACATTAGAATTCATATCCATTATTGTTTTGTACTTATTTTTTTTCCACGGCTTTTAAATCTTTCATCGTTAGTTCTATGAAAATTTTGAGTTTTAAATGGGAGCACACTCTTTGACAAGTTTTGGTGTTTCACAGTTGCAAGGCAGGCAAAATATCTAAGGGAAAAGTTTGGAGGTGGAGAGGATGAAATGTCTGATGATGATGAGCAAGATGAAGAAAGAAAAGCTGTGTGGGGTAGCAAAAAGAATTTGTATTACAGCGCAGATAATATTGATTATGAAGTAAAATGCTTACCTTTGACACACTAGCATTTTTAAGATTTAAATTTCCTCTGGAATATTATTTACAAGTATCCATGCTTCTCAATTAAAGCTCCAATCAAGTGATGAGGATCTTCCCATGGAAGAGGAGGCTGAAGTGCTGAAGATCCAGAGAGAGAAGGCAAAAACACTAGAAATGGAAGATTTTGGTCTTGAAGCTTCTGATCGAGAAGATAGTGATTTTGATGGTGATGAGAAAACTTTTCAGGTAGTAGTGTTGCCGCTTTCTTCAAGCTTTTCTTTTCTCCGCAAGTTTTATCATGTGATAGTATTTTTGTAACAAATGTAATACGACTTTTCACTATTTATTTATGATTTTTAATATAAGAGTTGGAGACTTTTTTAAAACTACAAGATACTACGACTTAGACTAGCTAGCTTTAGGAAAGTTTGGCATGATAAATTTTATTTCAGGTACTGAGTTTGTTGAGCATGCCCTGTTGCCCTCCTGAAAATATTTATATGCATACTTTAAAAGATGCAGAATGCGTTAATGTGATAGTCATCTAGTTTATCTCTGTCCCCTCACTTTTTTTTTTTCGGCTAGGATTTAAGCAAAGTGAGAGTTACCCAGAAACCTGGGGTAGAAGTTATTGATGACTTAACTATTGATGACTATGAAGAGATAAAGAAAGATCTCAGTGCTTTGTCTAAGGCAGAGCAAATGGATGTTGTTTATAGGTATGTCATTTTGGCATTTTGTGCTTGGCTTCAACTGCATTCATTCTTTTCGCATATTTTAAACGTGCTGTTAGAGTTACTCTAAACAAATTGAATTTACGCAACAAAGCACAGGTAACATACGTAGTGTATATTAGATTTACACTCGGCTGTGCACATTATTTTTAATTTTTGAGAAATATTCTTTATTTTGCTATTGATCTAAAGCTAGATAGTATGTACGTTCACATGATGCGGGTAAATCTATTATTACTTTTAGTGCCGTGTTGTTATTTATTAGTTATAACATTAAGTTTTACTGAAAAAAATCTTATTTATAGATTTTTCAGTTGTTTTTATGACATTCAGTTTTATGTGAAATAATGGTTTGCATATGTAAAAATGTGAAATCTCTCTTCTAGTGTTATTCAGACATGTCATAATAGCAATGTAAGCATTAATAAGAACTAATGTATATTGATTCATTTATTAAAGGGGATTAAGTGCGTATGAATTCAAAGAGAAAGTATCATATATGAATTCAATTAATAGTTCTAATGCGTCCCAGTATTGTTCTGGATCACCAACAATCCTCAAAGAAGTGCACCAGAATTTTAGTTGGCCTATTTCATGATAAAAAAAGATTCACAAATAAATTTCATACATTTTAAGCTCTGGAAGGAAACTAAAGACAAAATCCGATTCAGCTCTAATAGTTATTGCTTTCCATGAACTCTGCATTGCAAAATCAATCCAATTTTTCTTGAGAAGTCCATTCTGCAATTGTATAGCATTTGGCTTCATGCAATGGAAAGGAAAGAGAAAATGACAGGTGTAAATTGGAATAAGTATATCAATTAATGAGTTTTTCATCTCTTAAATCCCAACATGGCAAAAGTTACAATAACATTGTGCTTTCTTACAATTAAGAGTATTGCAACTCTCCAAAAAGAAAAAAAAATTACAAATAGTCATTTGGAATCCACTTTCACAGGTGGACTATGCATGCTGGGAAAGAATGTTTTCCCAAAGTTGCCCTTTTTGAAGTTAATGAATAGTAAATTCTTTTTTAGGAGCTCGAACACTTTGTGCATATGTTTGAGATGTTCCTCCCACGTTAGCCTATAAATGAGGATGCATCTTGGGTAGACATCCACAAAGTCCTCCATTTTCTTAGAATGCCATTCATGAGATGCATAAATGTTGTTGACGCTTTGTAGAAATCAATTGACATCACCATCCACTCATTAGCTCTTGCTTGCTCTTGAACACTGTTTTTGTTGTGAAACGTAATTGCATGGATGAATTGCTTACAAGAAATTTGCACGCTTAATATTCCAAAGGGAAAGACAAATTCGGAGCTCCGGCATAGTCACTTTAGTGTTGGGGAAGTAATGGGCAGCAACACAAGGTTTGGGAACCTCCTGGACAGCAATCGGAGACCCTTTGGACAGCAAGACAGCCGTAGGAAATCTGCTAGGTTGGCTGGACAGCAACTAAAGATGTTTGGATTGTCACTAGGAAAGCCTGGCCAGCAATTTTGGCCCTTGAACAACTTTGGACAGCAGCCTTTGAGGTTAGAAATGCCTTGGACAGCACTTGAGGGATTTCTGGTCTGCAAACAGGAGCAAATCTGGCAGCACTATGGCTGGTCGGAGTTTCCAGGACGGTGCATAAAATCTGTCCAGAAAATTCTGGACAGCAGTTTGGCATGAAGAACTGCTGCGTTCCGGCTTTCTGGATGCAGAAATTGAAAGAGTATAGCAGAGAAATTTGGGAATAACAATGGGAAATAGTCTTGAGATTAATTTACTTGCCTAGGTGGCAAGATTAATTAAATCCCAAATCAATTTGGAGAGAGAGAGAATAGAAATCTGAAAGTAATTTCAGATTAAGTTGAATTGGTGGGATGAATTTGAATTTAAAATTCAAATTCTAATTGAGGGAATTAACTTAGATGAGAGGGAATTGTAGGAGGTAATTAGGGAGGTTTAATGAGGGGGCTATTAATGAAATTGGAGAGAGAAAGCTCATGGAGAGGGGCCGGCCATATGTATTGGAGAGAGAGGCTTGAGTTTTAATTAAATGGGGCCCACACACTAATCAAAGGTTTTAAGAAAAAAATCTGAATTAAATTTCAGATTTTCTTTGAAGAGGAAGTTTCCTAATATTAAAGGCAATTAATTGGAATTTGTTTGAATTTCAAATTTGAATTGAAATTCAATTAAGAGGATTTCCTAAAATCATGGAGTTATTTTAGGAAAGTCATCAATGTCTCTTGGGGAAAATTTGAATTTCAAATTTGTAATCCCAAGGAGGGAGGCCGGCGACTAGAGAAGTGGAGAGGGGATGAAGGTTGAAGTGGCCAGCGGCTAGGGGGCTTTGGGTGGGGAGGCCGGCGGGTGGGGAATTTGGGGAGGTGGAGCCGACGGGTGTAGGGAGATGGGGAAGGGGAAAAAAATGCTAGGAGAATTAAGAGAAAAAAAATTGGAAAATCTAAGGAGCTACAAACCTCAAGTATCTCCTCCTCAAGAACTCACAAAGAGATCTTGGGAATCTCGGAACTCATAAAGAGATCCTCCTCAAGAACTCACAAAGAGATCTTGGGAATCTCGGAACTCACAAAGAGATCCTTCTCCTCTCATGAACTCACTAAGAGATCAAACAAGTAGAATAAGCTTTCATTAACAATTCATCCTTCTATTACACAAGAAAGGGCCTCTATATATAGGCCTAAGAAACTAAAACAATGCACATATGCCCCAATGGCGTACATAGGACGATCCTCTTAAATGAGGGTAAAAATGGAAAATTTATCATAAAAAATAAAAATTACAAATAAAATATAAGATAACGTGGGACGATGACAGCTGTCGATATTCAGCTCCTCGGATAGGCATGGACGGTTGGATGTCCGCATCAGTTTTCCACATATCATCTTCTTGAACGTAGATTTGATGGTAGCCGGATTTTATATCTATCTTTTACAAGACTGTTGCATGCTTCAAGTGGTGTAACAAGTCATCCTTTTGGGGTAGTGTACATTGATTCTTCATAATGATTTGATTTAGTATATGGTAGTTTACATGCATTCACCAACTACCATCTTTCTTAGACACTATTACAATTGGAAATTCACACAATGAGCTGCTTTGCTTGATAATGACATGTTTCAACAACTCAACCATTTTATTTTTTATTTCTACATGTTCCACCATTGAGTTGTGATACATATTAATGTTAGGTAGAGTGCAACATGATAATAGATAACTACTTGGTGAGAAGGCAATCCTTTTGGTTTCTGGAAATAATCAATGTAATTTTTTTACTAGTTGTTCTAATTCAACCCTTGCTTCCTAAGAATTAAAGACAACACCTTTGCCTTCAACTTGGGCTTTCTTATATTCTTATTGAACCAAGGCTATTGCATTGCCTCTAGTCTTCTCATGTCGTACTAAGAGTAAAGTGAAACATTGGTCGTACTTATAGTTCTCTTTGCCTGTCTGGTCGCCACCATATCTGAAGGTTGACCCTTTTATTCCCTTTGACATATTGTCTTTGAAGATATTATATTGTTATGCCTTTAAATAAATATAGCATTTAGATCTCGTAGAGATAGACTCTAAATTTAATATGGTAGATATTGAGAGACAGCTTCATACATCACTATGTTAATGTACTACTGAGTAATGGTTGTGCAAGCAACACTGCTGATTTATGTACATCTCTGAGTCCTTCTGAATTTATCCAAGAGGGTAGGGAGGCGGGTGAGAAGTCACATCGGGCCCCAACCTTTCTAGGCTTGTTGATGTCAAATTCTTTGAACTCCTTAAGTCAAGGGTGGAGTTGACCCTTCCTGCTTGATTTGGTTTTGCAAGATGAATTCATCACGCATGTTAGGGCTTGGTGTTGAACTTGCCTTTTTTCCCTTTGACAATATATTAAGGATAGGCTCCAATCTAAGGTAAAGAGCATTCTTTGACCTTCTTGTAGTCATTTTTTATTAACATCATATGCACTACAGTTTCTCAAAACCTAGCACTTTGATACCAACTAGTGCTCTGATATCATCTTGATTCAAGACCTCCCACAAGACACCAAGGAAGGTGTAACCAACAGGTGAAGCAGCCAGTTTATAGATTTGAAAATACGGTGGTTAATCTTGATTGTTGATTAAAGGCAAGGAATCTGGTATTTCATTTGAGGAAACCGAGAAATTACAATGGGGATAAAAATTTCCCTCGTTTCCGTTTATTTTCCCCTCTCTCTAATCTCTCACTCTTTCAGCTCTTGAGAAGCTCCTTTTTCTTCCTGCCCTAATCTTCCCACGATGCCTGCTTTATATAGGTGGAGAACCTTGGTCATTAAAAGGCAAAAATGTTCATGCAGAAAATAGGGATTTGATTGAGAGCAATCCGGATTGGTAAGGGAAGGCGTCACCAATTCAGACATTTAGCGCCAAACTGACATTTGTGCTGCTTGGAGCAAACCATTTGGCAGGTGTTCCCAGCTCTGTAAAGAGTTCCCAAAACTTTTGAACTCCTCCCGGCCTCCATCAATTCCTCTTGTTAGCGTTCCAATCTTCATGGGACATCTCGATCATCCGTCTCCCCATTTGTTTGGCAAGTCATTTGATCTCCTGAAAACAAATGCATGTAAGAATAGCACGTACGATACTCAGACATCAATGCTTTAAGGGAGAATTTCTTTTTATTTATAAAATCAAATGCCTTTTGTATAATATAAAAAAGTGCCTTCATGTACTACCTGGCCTTGGAATCATTCATGTAGCTGTAGTGCTCTGCATATTTAATCAACCACGATTTTTTTTAACTGTAATTTGCTTTTGAGATGAACCAGGATTACAGAATGAATCTTATCTGTTCCATGCTTAGCCTTTTGCATATTCTTAAGTGGGAGTTGTTGGTGTGAAACAAACATGCTTCTAGAGTTGCGTTGGTTTTAACAATAAATATTGAACATGAACTTTGCTATTTAAAAACTTATGCTTCACTCAATTC